AAATATAGCTATTCAAATAGGTATAATACGTATAAATGTTCCATTCATACTCTCACTCTCCCTACCTGTAGAATTCTGTAGATGTATAATATTTTGCGGACATTTTACGACCTCGTTAGATAGGAAATATGGGAAGTTAGTGTTCAGCTTCCAGCCGCTATCATTTTTGGCCATGTACCCTGCAGGGCCTGAGCCCCTCCTTGTGGCCTTCCCTGCCCGCCTCCAGTGCCAGCCATGGGGAAATCCTCGGCCGTGGCTCTGTTCCTGATGATTTTCTACCACTTACTTCGACTGACCCTCCAGTGACCTAACCTGGCAATGGGAAATCCAAGTTTTTGAGTGTACATGTGGCAAATGTTCCATTGGCTTTTCTAAGAGGGTGCTCGCAACAATGCTAGTAGCAGTTCAGTAAAATTGTTCATGGTCACGGCTGCACATGCGGCCAAGATGCACAACCACCCACGATGCAGTCATGACTCCCTTGCGAAGCAGCTTTGGCTGGGAAAATTCGACTGATATGGACCTTTGTCAAATAGGATCGGTTGGTGCGCTATTGCATGTAAGCACATATGCAGCACACTGATATCATATTGTGATCCTCTGCTAGAGGCAACATGCGTCAATTTCCGTACACCAAACCATGGGTACCCAACACCTAAAAAATAGGGACCCCATGGGACCCCCCAACTCCACCAAAATGGTCCCTCCGAAAACTCTCAATGAGACATCCTGCAGGAGAGGACTGCTGGCACCTCAAGGCGGAGAATCAACAGAATCTCGAAGGAAATCAGCAGGGCGTGCGTTACACAACTCTGAAACCGCAATAGGCGAACCTCCTGCAACGCGATTCAAAGGGTGCACTGCACTGGGGTAGCCGTGGGTGGCTAGGCACCAACATGGTGATGCAGAGTAGCACAATTCACTTCTGCGATCTTTTTTTTCCTCCGTCCAGATTTGGTATCTGGTATTTGTTGTGTAATCAATCCTCCCACCGATGTCGGTGGAACATGACAAACACTTGAAACCAGCAACCGACACGAATCAAAGCAATTAATAATTGCACACAAGGTGCTCCTTGCATCCACATTGTTGAAGGAAAATTGTAACTCTATGATCATGATAACTGAAGATAAGTGATAAGTAAAAAAATACATTCCAACATGCACTGTTGAGTCCGAGTATCTCATGAAAAACACAGGTGCAAGGACAGCTTTTACTGTACACATGGTGGTGGTTTGTTTAGTCTCTGGATGGTTCTTCACTGAATAGACCTATCCTCAAGTAGTGGGTCGGGGAACTCTGTAAATTCCCGTCGCCCTCGCTGCCACATCCCAATTCTTTCGAGTCACATCCCAACTCTTCTTGCTTTCTCTGGGCACTTGTCACCATTTTTTGTTGCTTCATGATCTTCATGTTATACTATGTTATACTCACATGTCTGTTGTTGATCTGCCAATAATGCTTTTGGCCGAAGAGTAAAGTTCTGATGAGTTTTACCATTGATATTGTTTAATCGTCTGCCACCTGTTAGCCTGTTGCCAGTTACAATCTCTTTATGTCCCACCCCAGCTATAAAACCCAGCTATTGGTACATCAATATGTTTCTTATGCCCATTTGGGGGGTTTTTGCTGGAATGGGGGTACCTCCAAATCATCAATTTAAATAGGATCTTCCATTATAAACCATCCATTTTGGGGTACCCCAATTTTAGGAAACCATCCATTTATGGAAACCCGCATTGACGCCCCCGTTCTGTGAATTGCTTGGATCCAAACTCAGAGACCCCCCATCCTTCTTAAGCTTGGTGTGGGTTCGGGCAGCTTCGGGATCCTGGCATTTCCAAGGTGGAGCTATACAGGGTCAAACAGCCAAGTCATGTAACTGTAAAATGCTTCCAACATATACACATTTGAAAATACATGTATGCAAACAAATATAGCTATATCTATATCTATATCTATATCTATATCTATATCTATCTATCTATATATATATATTTACATGCATGTGTATATATATATATATACAATTATGTATCTATAGATGTATGTGCTAGAGAAGGACACTAAGGGTGAGAGGCTGGCTCAAGGACAAGAACTCCAACCCCCAATCCATGGAGCATCCCCCAAGGCCAGCCGCATTTTTTCTACGCCAATTGGTCTAGGACTTGGAGCATGATATCGCGTGAGGACACGATGCCCACAATGCGCGCGATGTCGTCGGAGGACAAGAAAATCCGTTGCAACTTGGAGTCCACCAAGCGGCGTGCCTGCGGTGCCATAAACTTGGGTCGTATGGGGTTAGTTATCCAACTATGATGTTTTGTTTCCCGATTTCAAACATATACCAATGTACGTACATATAAACATGTACGGACACATACATGCATATGTATACATACATATGTATGATTATGTATGTAATGACGATGACAATGAGGATGACGATGATGAGAATGATAAAGATGATGAGGATGATGAGGGTGACGGGGATGATGAGGATGATGAGGATGATGAGAATGATGAGGATGATGATGGTGATGATGATGATGATGAAGAAGAAAATGAAGATGAAACAGAAAAAGAAGAAGAAGAAGAAGAAGAAGAAAAAAAAGAAGAAGAAGAAGAAGAATAAAAAAGAAGAATAAGAAGAATAAGAAGAAGAAGAAGAAAAAAGAAGAATAAGAAGAATAAGAAGAAGAAGAAGAAGAAAAAAAAGAAGAAGAAGAAGAGGAAAAGGAAGAGGAAGAAGAAGAAGAATAAGAAGAAGAAGAAAAAGAAGAAGAAGAATAAGAAGAATAACGAGAAGAAGAAGAAGAAACAAAGAAGAAGAAAAATAAGAAGAAGAAGAAGAAGAAAAAGAAGAAAAAGAAGAAGAAGAAACAAAGAAGAAGAAAAATAAGAAGAATAAGAAGAAAAAAAAGAAGAATAAGAAGAAGAAAAAGAAGAAGAAGAATAATAAGAAGAAGAAAAAAGAAGAAGAACACGAAGAAGAAGAAAAAAAGAAGAAGAAGAATAATAATAAGAAGAAGAACATGAAGAAAATGATGGTTGTGACATGTTGTGACATTGTCTGTTGTGACCATGGTTTGTGTAAGTGTGAATTATTTTGGTGGAGCTGCAACAGGCCCCGACAAACTGCCATGTAAATCCACAAAACGCATCGGAACTAAGGCTGGCAAACGTAGGAGCTTCTGGTAGTACAGCTTGAGCGCTTACAAATGGTAGAGACATGTAGAGACTAAATCAAAGCAAACCAGACTCCAAAACTCCATCTGGGGTTGAATCATCAAAAATTGTCAAGCACAGAAACAACATGTGGCACAAACTGCTGAGTGCCAACAAATCGCACTCGAACCGCTCCAGCATCTACTAAGCTCCCCGAGGCAAATACGGAAACATTCCATCTGGTGGTTCAGCTCAGCCAAAAGCACGAGCAACTGGGGTTGACAATTTCGAGTACCAATGGGTAAGCCTCACACCTTTGAAACCACCAACTGATCAGCCGCTACCAGAACTTCTTGCTTGTTTTCCCTTTTTGTCTAGTTATACACCCATTTTGAGTCATTTTGCTCCTGTATACCCATTGCATCCCATTGCTGGCGTGAAATCCCATTTCGTTGATTATGTGTTTCTTCCACCGTTTAGATACGCTTCCAATGCCTTAAACACAATTGGAAGCCAACCAGCGTTACTACCCATGGTTCCCCATGTTGTCGGATATTCCCATGTTTGAAAGGACCAGTCGCTTCATCATCTTCATTGATGCAATGTCTGTTGCATCATATTTTGGGTGGTTCTACATTTAATATATATATATATATTTATGATGTTCACATGGCCAATATCTTCCCATTCAAGAAAACCGGGGTGGCCATTTCAAGTTCGGGTGACGGCAGCTTGTGTTCATTTAGGTATGGGCCGCATCACCAGGTATCCCAAAGACTTGATGCAACACCTGTGGTTTTCTGGGTCTCAAATTTTCTTCCCATACGAAATTGTTTAGTAATAGCATGCAATAGCCATGTCACTGTGGTTTATCCGGCCAGCCGTGTTTGATGTATAGTGGTATGGCCTTTTCTTTCTTGCTAAGAACTGTGCAATCTTGAATCGTAAGGATTAATACGTCGCAGAAGCAAATAATACAGTTTTTTTTTGTGAGATCTTTGGCTCCAACCAAAAAAACACAGAACATCCCCGAAACACCTTGGCTATTCCTCTGTGTCAAGGCACCAGGGTGTGAAGAGATGCATCTTCTGAAGCGCTGACAACGTTGAAACGCATGAAGCGTTGCTGCCTGGTGAAACCGCCCAGGTTTTATCCATTTCATCCCATTGGCACTGTGAGCCATTGATTCGTGCTCTTTCAATCCAAAGTCTTATGTATTGTTTGACTCTCCATGTGGTAGAATTCCATTTTTTTGACCAGCTTCCCCAGTTGTTTTCTGGTGAATTCCCGATTTTTTTTTTGCAACCTCCTGATTCCTGTTACGAGCATATACTTAACATCTTAACTCCCAATTTGTGCCAAGTAAATTCCAATTAACTTTTGATAACTTTTGCTAGCTAATATTCCCCAAACTATTGCATCTCCCAAAATTCGATACCACTCCATCTTTTATCGACCATGGGGGCGTTGGGCATTGCTTTGACTTCAATTCTGGTTTCAAAATACATGTAATCATACCAATTTTCCACACACACACACAAATCATAATATATATATATTGTATATATTATGAATATGAATATGATGTATGTTTGTATGTAATGGTATGGTATGGTATGGTATGGTATGGTATGGTGTATGGTATGGTATGGTATGGTATGGTATGGTATGGTATGGTATGTATGACACACACACGCACACTACATCTATTATATCCATTTCATTCGATTTCACTGATTTTCCATGAATTTCAGACATTTCTCCCATCAGCCCTTTACGGCGCCTCAGGATGTGGTCCAGGTCCGAGCTTTCGGCCTTCCGGCGCCAGGCCACAAAGTCCTGGACCGACAGATGCAGCGCCGCGAAGTCGCCGGAACGCACCACCCACTTCCTGGGGGGCACCGGCTGGGAAGCTGAGCCAGTTGGAGATGGTTTCACCAAGGCCAAATGCTGTTTTATTGGAGAAAATATCGGGAATTCAGGAAACAAAATCAGGATTCAATGAACAAACTGAGCGATTTCATCCTGAAGGACATTTCAAAAGGTTAAACTATCAAATCTATCAATGGGGATGGAACACCATCAAACATGTATTTTTTTCATGTGTTTTCACCAAGAATGGGGGATGCAACCAACACCAGTGGAATATGTTCATTGGTGCCAGCTGGCCTTGCCTAGGATTCTGGCCATATCCAGTAGGTTATAATTTTGAAACAGGTCGTGGGGTAGTTGAACCAACCAATGAAGTGGGTTTCAATCATGATATAACCAAGCAACATCGGAATAAGGTGCCGAAAGGTTGTGGATTTCGTTGATTTCACCAAATCATGGGAAACCAAGGAATTTGCAACGCAACCAAGTGTGAGGGTAATTCAATTTAATTTCAGGTGGCTTGCCTACAGCATTGGAACATCAAACTAAAAACCAGGCAACGGCCCAAGGCGTATGTAAACTAAATATAACGTTGATGTTCCAACGACTATAACTCCACATGGACTTGATATATCCGACGCAAGTGAAACTTTGCTTGTCAATCTCACCAGTGAATGCATCCCCCACCAAATCCATGGTTTGCCCTCAAGGACCCAAGGTTTCATTGGGCAAAGGGCTCCCAGCTGCCCACAACAGGTGGCTTCCATCAACAAAAGAGGGTTTTACACGAGGAATTTCTGGGAAAAATATATCAATGGGTTTGTCTGAACGTAAGGTACCACCCCAAAAACCAATGGTTTAGTGGTTTATCTCCTTTTTACCATTTAGTAAGTTTAGATGATGCTTTGCGAGTATATCCCATTTTCACACTGAATCATCATCTTGAGTTGGTGAATTTCATTCCATTATATTAAGATCTACTGTACATATTTGATCATATTTGTAAGTATATCCCATTAGAATCACTAGAACCCAACTCATCTCCTATATACGAACACCAATCATCACCAGGTCCCACCCCTGGCGCCACCAAGTGGCAAGTCAGCAGTGGAAATCACATTGCTGGCCACCACACCGCCCAAGCTACCGGAGAGCTCCCGGAACCTGATGGAGCCAGGACATCAACGTTTCACGCTGGAAGCGTTGAAGCGAGCAGGGACGGAAACCACACACAAACACACAAGTATGTATATACATATGATCTATCTAGCTATCTATCCAATCTAATCTAATCTATCTATCCTATCAATCCTATCTATTCTATCTATCCTATCTCTCCTATCTCTCGATCTGTCCATCCATCCATCCATCCATCCAATCTATCTATCTAATCTACAGTCAGTAATCTAATCAAATCCAACCCAATCCAATCCATATATATATATATATCTATATATATATATATATGCACATGCATGTATAAGTTTATATACATGAGCATGAAATTTGCACACAAGAATGCATATGCACATTGTTTGTGGCTAAGCCGACATCTTTAGGGATTATCGCACATTCCTTTTTGTTCTTCCTTAGAATGACGATGCCAGGTACGATTTTTTCCCGGGATCCTAGTTTTCACAAAGGGTTTGGTGGCTTCGGAGGGCTGCCTGAAACATCGATGCAAACCCGCAATCAAATGGTGGGGTTATGATGCCTTATTATACCCAGTCAGAAGAGATTTTCTGACCCCCATTGGCAAATCCGAATCAGCCTTGTGGTACAAGATGGGAAATCAAGGATACTCTCCATTGACAGATGATTTTCATTGATCTTCCATATGATCTTCCCATGAAAACCGCCTTGTTTTGATTTCCCATTGCCACGACTGGTTACCAGAGGGCTCCCCACCTCCAGCCAGGGCACGTGCATGGGCAGATTGTCAACCCCTCAGCTTTCATCACTGTCAAGGCATGGAGCATAGGCTCGTCCTCAGCATGGCTAGCTGTGAAATCCCCGAACTAAATTGGAGTTAAAATGGGACAATCACCAATAAATTGGGGGATAATCATCCAGTTGTGGGTTTTGGGTTGGTTTGTTGCAAATGTTTTTCCAAGAATCCTGGCATTCTGCCTGGCATCACTGGAAAATCCTGGGGTTTGAGTTTGACCCAGCTCCACCGGGCCCTCCAGGGTCCTGGTTCACTGAGACCTGCAAAATGGTGCTGCGACGGTCGAAGACTTTGGCACTCAACGACTTGAGCACTGCAGTGGGTGCGGTGGACTTCCTCGGATTGTGAGGAAGTGATGGGAGCTGCTCCTCAACCAGGATGGCCCGCGGGAAAATCGGTCATTTTCTGGATGAAGCACTCTGAAATTCACAAAATCAAGCAAAAAGCTCCTAAAACTACAGTGATGGGCGCAGTAACCCACAAGCCAAGTGACAGGGCTAAATTCAAGAAATCCAGACAGGAGAAGACGCCCACCTTACGGCACCGGAAAGTGGAAACGCATCACAACTGGATGTAGAAAAGCAATGAAAATCCTGGGCAAACATCACAAAACACCACAGTGACATCATCACAACTAATGCAATCACTGGTGGATTGATCTCTCCCTCTTCGTAGCCCTATGCATCTATTTCTGCACAGCATCCGGGGAGAAATTGAAGAATCAAGACTGTGCAGGGGATAAATTGAGATTGTAAAGCTGTGAATTCTGGACGCAAAGCACTGGCACCCAACCAAAATCGGGGTCCTTGAAGTTGAAGTTGGACCGAAATGGCAAGATACTCAGTAGCATCTCGATAGATCTCAATAGTCCAAGTCTAGGGTCTAGGCCCCTTGTCAATCTTGTCCGGTTTGGGCCGTCCCATCGCCCAGCTACAATCTCTTTGCCGTCTCTCAATGGCACCCGGCGCACCTAGCCAGACTCCAACACCATTTTTTTGGAATCATTCCAGGGGCTAACAAGATATTCCCATCATGGTGGTAGGGCATTTCTATCATCTCCTTGAATGGATTGTGATAGTTGAACGACATAATTCTTAGCCGCTGATATGGGTTTCAACTCCCTACAAGAATTCAAGCTTTGCGAGACCTCATTTAATCAAATACTGGGACCCCATACGACCAACGATTAAGACTTGTGAAAATGGCTCGGGGATATGCTCCCCTTTTTGGATTTTCAATGTATCCTGCCCAGGAACCAAGCAATGCCCATTTGCTGGTGCAAGCTAAGAATTTATAATATCTGAATTGAATTCAGATGCGATTTGAGACCCGTTGAGGATGCTACAGGTTTATGACGTGTCAAAATCATATTCTCAATGGCTCATACGAGTAAAAACATCTACCAACCGCGTCAACATACTATTTCACCCAGAAAAATGCGGATGTCGGGCATACAAAGATGGGCAAACATGGGGATTCCGACCACAAACCAACATGGGTTTTCACCCTGCAAAAAACATGATCTCTGGCGATTTCACCCACAAAACCAAGAGAACAACATGGATCTTACCCACAAAAAATGTAGGTTTCACCGTTTCACCGTTTCACCTCCAAAAGCTACACACATGAAGATTCGTCTCCAAAAGTTGGATTAATCTTTTCATCAACCAAGAAAACCACGGGAACAATAAACTTTCCACATTAAACAGGATTTGGTCCATATTTTTTCCAGTGATTCCCACCTGTCCCTGGCGTTTCTTGCGATGCCGCCCGGCGATCAAATGCAGCACGTCGCGCAGGGGGGTCTCAACATCCAGTGCCACGAAGCTGCAAAAGCTGGAGCAGTTCGCTAGGTCGCCGACCTCCAGGGACTCGCCACTTGGACAGGGTCAAACTGCAACACATAAAGAAAGAGATACCCTCTGGTTATTTAACATAGCCATGGTATAGATGGCCCATTTCTAGTGAGTTTACCTATAAAAAATGGTGATTTTTCCATGGCTATGTTAAATAACCAAAGGGTATCTATGATGGGGTTTAAACGAACTATCGAATGGCAATCTCAACAATGTTTTAACCGGTTTTAAAGCTGCAACATGTTTTTGAGATCTCATGGGGTTTATGAATGGTATTAAACTAGCTACTGTATCTAATGGCAATTCCGACGGTTTAAACCAGGGTAATAGCAACAAATATATGGGATAATATGGGATTTTATCATGGGATTAGCATAGATTGGTTTCTAGCTATCTAATGGCTGGTTTGTTTCTCACACAAATGTGGGTGCCATTACGGGGCATGCCATATAGGTATACGATGTGGGTTTTTACCATGAACTTGAAGGGGTTGAATATATTTCAAGAACACTAATAAATAAAAAAAAGTGGTACGTATGTAACCAACAGTCCATTGGAACACGAATACCGGCTAAAAATGTAATCTTTTTACCTGCCAGAAATATGGATAATGGGGGTATGAACTGAAAACATGGATTAACATTGGTACCAAATGGCCATAAAGAAGAAGTTTCATAAGCAGTGGGCTGTAACCCATTTGTTCTGGAATATCCACCGGAATCGCTGGAATCCATTGGCAATTGCAAATGCTACCAGCTGACATGGGGATTCAAACGGTGGAACTTGGGTATTGAATAACACCTTAAATGAAACATGTACCAATTGTACCCAACGATCCCTCCAAATAAGTGGAGGGGTGCTTGCTGGTTCGCATTTTATCACCTTTTGTGGAGCTTTTTGACTTCGGGCTCCCTAGGTACCCCACACATTGAGAGTCCTCCAAGTCAATTAGCGTATTTTTCCTAGGGATCTGGCCATTTCAAGACATATCAGGATAATGTCAATTCCTGGTTCGTAAGCCCCCAACTGATTAATTGGGCACACAAATAATGACTATATTCCAATACGAACTAGCAAAGAGCCATCCATGTTGGCCTCATTGTTAAAACAAAGCTTTATCATGCTTTGTCAATCCTATATAGTTTGACATTGTTAACGCCAATAAACTATCGCAAGCATCTCAAGCTAAGGGGGAACTGTTCTCTTCACCATCGTTGACCCTTCAGACTGGCACCATTCTCTGCCTGTGCATTGCAGATCTGTTGCAAACATTCTGCCGCTTTTGACCAGCAGGAACCTGCTTCCTTGACCAAACGGTGATTGATGTCCTTGATTTCTGCAGGCAGAGGCGGAGTTTTGTCGCCGTTTTGCTGGAGACTTGGGCTCTAAGCAACTAAACAGAGTTGAAAAAGGTCTGCTAGCAACTCATGGGGAAAGGAGACAAACTTTTCCCGACGAACCCAAACATGCTGTGCAAAACTTAAAAAAAACGCAGTGGATCAGCATCTTTTAGCATCGATCCTAAAGTTACCTAAAGGTCCTAAACATATTATCTACAAGTGATGTTAAATATTCTCAACTGATCTTTTCGGATTTGTTCGGACTAAAGTTTTTTGTTCAAGCATCCATGTAGTCGAAGAACTCATGGTGGCCATCCCTGTATCGGATAATGGCCCATCGCCGATGGAAACGTACCATCTCAGCCACCACCTCCTTGACCTTTTGATCTTCATCAAATAGCAAAGCTTGAGGGAACAATGAGCTGGCACTCCGCTTCCTCGGCCGTTTGAAGACGGCAACTGGTTGCGCGTTGAGGGTTTTAGATGGCTGGATAGATTAACCTAGATTGCTTTAGAACAGCGGCACGCGCACCATAAATCTGGCAAATTACAATAGTTCCCGAATCAGACATAAGATGAAATCAGCGTATTTGGAGGTGGTCTTCTGTAATTTTCTTGACATCCAATGATATCCCCAACTTGGTGGTTACCATCTCCCCACAAAACTGGCGCTGTTCAGAGCTTCATCTGAGCCAAGTAATGGGACACCGGCTTCGATGGATTCCAATGCTCCCGCGGTTGCAGGGGCGAATTCAGCTCCTCGTGGCCTTCCGCTCTGGAGGCATCTTCAAAGATGTCTTCCATGGGTGGAAAGAGCATCGCCAGGAACTCACCTGTGGAGTTGCAGGACGCTGCAGGAGGCCTACAGAAAATAAAATACTGAGGTTGGAACTGGATCAAAAACCAAAACCACTGATCAGCCTTCAGAAAAAAAACCAAAGGTAACCAAGGTTTTTGGTACTTTCATCACCCTGAGTGAAGGGCCCTTCACATCCCTCCACTAATAATTATAATAATTCATAACAACCTACAACAACCAGAACCAGCTACCGACCCCTCCGAGGCCAGTTGCAGTAGCTCAAGGATTCCTGCTCTCCACAGACAGCCTTCCATACCTTCGAAACTGTCTTTCGGGGGCTGTCGTCGGGTTGCCTCAGAGCATGGAGAATCCAGCCAGGAAGACCTAGCAGCCTTCCTTTCAACATATGGGTTTGTCTGAAAATAGGGTACCCCTAGATCTACTGGTCAATCATCACTTTCCCTGTTAGAATAGCCATAAACAATTTTATGGCCAAACCCCGGTTTCAGAATGTTTCAGACAGACCCATATTCAGCGAGAGAAACGTGGTTTTGATTCGGATGACCTAGGAGTAAATCCCGAAAACATCCAGACAGACATGATCCCTTTGGCAAAGAATGTTGGCTCCAACAGCGAGTGCGAAGCCATCTTTATCCTGGATTATGGTGGATTGAGATTTCTCCCAAACAACTCCAAAGACAACATAATTCGAGATGTGCAGGTTTGGTTCTCGTTGGTGGTCAAAAGAGTCGTTTGACCAACCGCTGGACCCCACCATGCGGTTCCCGGGCCCTTGGCACCCAACCTTTAAGGAACAACACCAAGTGATCAGCCCCAGCAAATGAAAGTGAGCCAGCCACGACAATCTTCCCGCAGAGTTGAGGTCCTTGCTCATATTTGCCATCTTTACCAAACATATATCCTTCCTTCCTCTACACATCTTGATGATATAAATAGATAAATAAACAACCATATCTTTATGTATATATATATTTAAATTCTAACTTAAATTACACTATACAACATTACATTACATTACATTCTATTCTATTCTATTCTATTCAATTATGTTACATTATATGATATATTGTTATATATTTTCTTTCCTATAGTGTATTATTAAATTTTATCACATATCATATCATATCATATTATATACTTTTTTTTTATATATCATTTTTCAATGTATATGTTGCACAAAAAATGTCCCAAGTTTCATGGCAAACATGAAGAGACATGTATACAATGACCATTTGGATCAACTAAGAGGTTCATGTTCAATTTCGAGGGTTTGGTGAAGGAAACTGCGGGTAAGATGCTCTTGCCACATACTGCGCGAATCCTGCATGGACTCACGTGGATTTCGAAATGCTTTGGCACCAGAGATTTGACCCTAAAATAGGCCCTAAAACATATCACTTCGTCATAGTTCGTCAAAGTTCGTCAATTGAGATTGTCCCATTTGGGACCCAACCCCAAACATATCAAATAAGCAAGCATAAGCAAGCGTTTCCAAATGACCAGCCAGTATCAGCCAGTTATATTTGATATATTACGGTGATTCGATATACTATATAACACTATAACTATAATGTTATGAGTTATGACGTACTAGTACTAGTCTCATGACCCACGATTGTGTATATGTAAATGATTGTAAATGTATGTATGTATATTTAAAAAAAACATCTACACATTCCATCATATCCCATGATATTCCGATGCATTCTGCTGGCATGGAATTCCTTACGCCATGCAGCCTGGCCTGGCAAACCTCTTGGATTACCTGCAGGAAGGTCTCCAAGTTGACCACACCGCTGAGCCCACGAGCATCAAACATCTTGAAGGTGTCACGCAAAGAAGTGAACTCCTGGAGAGGAAAAATCCTGGAAAAGAACATGGAATAAACATGGGTAAAACAACTGGCTGCTGACACTTTTTTTGTTTCTCTGATTTGTAGTATCTGTCGGGCATATATAATGACAGAAAGACACTAGAAGTACTTCTAACATCTTCCAACTACTTTCCAGAACCACATTTCGGATGTGTGTTCGTACCATTGTGGGGGTCGTACCCCTGAGCTTTCTACCTTTCGTATTTCATGAAGCTTCTATTTTCAGGTACCAAGGCCACAGCCCACTTCCCCCCAGTCCTCCCACGGTAAATATGTGGGAGAGCGCGCAACAGCCAGGAGCCACGCCCGTGTGGGCTGGGAAGTCTTCGCATGACAACGAAATCGATCCAGGATGGCACTCACAGGCAAGGCCCTCCTTGCGGACGATGGTCACTGATGATCATGGGCTAAATTATGGAAAATCAAGGGAAACTTTATGATGCGCAACCACACTGGAAAAGGAATTAGTTTTGAATGAATCTGCTCTCTGAAAGTGGGATTCTGGCGGGTTTTCATGGAATCATGAATGACACAGGGTTTTTCCCCCATAGATTTTGGAAGGGGAATGTAAGATTAAACGGCAGAAATTCCGCCCTGTCAGAATCCGGATCCAACTCTAGATGGCCTTGGCTTGCTGAAAGGTGCATAGCCAACTGCCACAAACTCAGGCAGGAACCCATTCCCAACTGTCCCAAGATGGAAAACTAACTGACATAGCAGTTTCGAACCACACTCAGTCAAATTTCGATTGACGCAGCCCCGTCTGCCAGCGCGATGATCAAAATCAGCACTAGATCTCTGAGCTGCTCACATAGACAACAGTGACTCACGCATTTGGAGGGTTGCGTTCCGCTCAAAACATCCCAAAACTGGATGGTTAAACAACAATGACTGCGCATTTTTGGGTTTGTTGGTCGTGTATTTTGATTTACCCCCTAGTATCGGTTATCGCATGCCCATCAGCTAAGTCCCCCCATGTGTGCCCGTCCTTATAGTTGGTAGACTGCCCTTATGCATCGGTTCTCTGAAAATTTGGAGCCCCAACAGCCCCAACATCATCCAAAATCAATCAATTTCCTACGGATTTATGATCATTTCCTGCATCAACATGAGCACAAATCTGGGTACCCTCTAGTACTTCAACATGGAGGGTACTTATAGAGGATCATCCCAGTTAGTTAATAACGGTGGTTGGAACTGGTGATCGGTAGGTCCCCGATTCCCGATTCATGGACCATCTCTAAACCTATAAGTGGCTTGTGGTGGCTTAATGTAGTAAACCCAATGCCATAAACCTACCATTTGACAATGATCATAAAACATGTCAATATTGGGGATGGCTTATGATGGCATTGTCTTTATCACATGAATTATAGCATGTTATGGACCCACTAACCAGATACGTTTTTCATATTTTTTCTGATTCCTCAGATCCATCCAAGCCAGGCTTCGGTGGATGGCATAGCGCGGCCCGTGCTTGGCTCAGGTAGGCATCCGTCAGCAGCAACTGCGCCGTGGATCGCATTTTGGGGTCCTTCGTCAACATCTTCGCCAGGAAGCTGCGAGAGGCTGGCGGCACCTCAAAAAAACACCCTTGGAGCTGGGGGATTTTTAAGTAACTTATGCAATCCATAATGGATATACATATGTATATATATATATATGTATGTATATACATAACTATACATATGTATACATACATAGTTATATAATATTACACATATTCATATATATATATATGTATATATGTATATATATATATATGAATAAACATATCTAAGTGTCTATATATAGACATGTAAAGAATTATATGTATAATTATATGCATGCATATGCATGTATATATAAATATATATGGTATTTATGCATGTATATTATGTATATTCATATAACATGTATATTTATATAATCCTTGATGCCTGTCTGTAGGTTAGCATCTATCCGATCTAACCTAATGTAAGCCAGATATATACCTATCTATCTATCTAGCTAGCTAAGGATCTATTATCTCTAGCTACCTCTCTATCTGCCAATCATTTTTCTTGTTTTTGGTCAGTTAGGGTGAACCACCCAACTTTATCCAATTCTACCAAACTTTCATGAATCTCTGTGCCATAGTAGATACTGCGCTATAAACAATCATTTCTGGCTTGGACTTGCATTCCCCCCAGTTATTTTGCAAGACAAAGTGCCGCAGTTATTTACTATTCATGTTGATGGGGTCAACCATATAAAATGTTAGCTGCGTCTGGCTAGTAGTTGGCAGACGCTTGGTAGACGGCCACGTGGTCTTATGCGTTTTAGATCATTTTAGGATATTCTAGGCTTATTTCGTGGTTTTTTACAGCATTTTCTTTGTTTCTCGCTGTGCCAATAGCCCGTTTTTCACTCTGTTTTCTTCTTGTTTCGCACATGACGTAGAAGTTTTGCATGTGAGTTAGAATTTCTGCAACCATAAGGTCTAGGTCGGGGGGTGGGTTTTGGGGTGGGGGGTTCGGGTGGGGGCGTAATAACGTTTTATCGCCTGTAATTTTGGTCAGATGGTCTTGATGTCATGCTCTTAAGTATCTTTGGTGCAATTTAAAGACGCTCTTGATGCTACGCTCTTAACTGATTCCTTGCAATTGCAACACGCTTGTGATGTTACGCTCTTAACTTTAGTTGATTTTTCAACACGCGAACTACGCTCTTAACTTATTCCTTGAAATTGCAACAGTGACTTAGTGAATATTTTCAACACGCGATGCTACGCTCTTAACTTATTCCTTGCATTTTCAACAAGCTTGTGATGTTACTTTCGCTCTTGACTTTCTTTGCAATTTTCCGCGCTCTCTTGATGCTCTGCCCATCACTTTGTCCTTGCAATTTTACGACGCTTTTGATGCTACGCCCTTAACTTTCTTTCCAATTTCAACACGCTCTTGATGCTACGCTCTTAACTTTGTCCTTGCAATTTCAGCACGCTTTCCCAAGAGAAAGGGTTTCAAACTGAAGCTGCATGTCATCAAAGAATGCAATTTACGCGAAGAACTGTTCAGAATATGATGCATAGGGTCCTTCTCTTGCAGGCCCACAAATCATTGGCAAAGAATGGCGCTCACTGAAAAATGATTGGTGGCCTCTGCATGTCAATGCCAACTTGAAAACGATGGCCATACAGTCATGTCAGAACATGTCAAGGGTATGGTGTACGAGTGGGTTTGGAGACAAAGTCTTGGACCTGTGTGTGCCTTCAACTTTCTGCATGAGTTGCAAGGACTGCTGAAGCATTGGAGAAAAAGGACGTTGCAATCATTGATTTCATTCGTTTTTTTGGGGGCCATGTAAAGTAAGGTGCAAATTTGATGGCGGGCGTAGCGTCATTTCCATGAACGCAACGGCCGTCTATCAAGCGTGTACCTTCTGCCTTCTAGTACTTAAAATGATGTTAAATGATGTTAAATGTAGTTCAATGTAGTTCATAGACTGTATGTTCAAATATCTCCATTTACTGGTAGCTGCTACCCATCCTGTTGGTTTCCTCTGGGTTTCCCCAGTACCTGCTCCAGGATCCGCTCGATGCTCTCATCGGTGACCTCTTTGATTTCTCGCAGCACCACCTCTTCGGTGTAGCCATCACATTGCCCGGCGTCACGATGAAAGGCGGCTTCCCCGGTCAACAACTCAACGAAGACAACCTGTGTGGATTTTGGGGGATGGTTGGGGTATTTGGGGTGGATTCTGGGGAAGATCTTTTTTGAACATATTTCTTTGGGAGTTTCGGACTTTCACTAGCACGATCGGACCCCAAAAGGTGGGTAAGTTCGACTGGTGGGCCCGAGTCCGCCCCGATGGTTCCAAAGAACTTTCCAAACAACGATGTTCTGACTCTTGACATTTGTTTAAGATTGTTGAAGCCTTTTGGGCAAAAAAACAGTTTGTTTCCATGGGAAAGAAGCGCATACATTACACGATTTCTGGGCATCAAGCATGACACCGACGCAAGTAGAGGCATCTCAATCATCTCAAACAAGTGGCTCCCAAGGACCAAATATCGCACTTGTCGGTGTAGGCATTTTCATTACTCAAGCCCGCGGTGACCACTTCTGGCGCCAAATATCCCAAGGTGCCCATGCATCCTTTTAAGCCCTCTGTGTTCAAATATCCTTGGCACCGATCCAAAAGGCCCCGTGCCACTGGGATCAATCACTTGGACCATTCATGATCACTCATGCATAGGTGATTCTTGGAAGGATTCTTCACGCCAAAATCAGGGTTGGCGATTCCATGTTATGAAATCTTAAAACTGCGACTCTGGGACTTGCAAAGGTGCGAAGCCTGCGTGTGAAACGGCTCTTGAAGCCAAAAAAACAGAACTGCGGTTCTCTTGTTCAGGGTTTCGAGCAAATCAATGTACATCGTCTTTGGGATCTTTTAGGGGCAGGACATGGCCATCTCGCCAGGACACCCTTCACGCTGAAACCGAAGTCGATGAGCTTGATGGTCCGACCATCTGCCTCATAAACCCAATTTCTGGGCTTGATATCCTCAGCTGCTGCCAACTCACGCAGATTGTGAGGATGCCGGGCCCTGACATGCCCTGACAGTTCCAGAAATGCTTTGGGTTTGGGATTGTTATCAGCATGCCGTGCTCGTGTCGTTGAGTTAAACACACACACATTTATATATATATATATTGTATTTTACCAGGTCAACAGCAATGGGGTGAAATACACACTAAACCGTTAAGCAGCTAGCTCTGTTTTGAACCAACGCTACAGAGTAGATCGATGATATATACACTACATGGTTTTACTGCAGGAGTTTTTACACCCCCCTCGGGCGAGCAGGGACGACTGCGGAGAACGAATAACCCAGAAAAGCATACCCTCGCGGGTAGCCAAATTTCTTTAGTTGGTTTTGAACATTTTGTGCAGTCTTTCAAAGGTCCCTAAAAAACGTTCAAGCCCGTAAAACCCAGCGCAGCTTTGCAAGGAAGGCACATTACCATGCCACATCTTGCGCTATGCTACAAAAGAAAATCATCGTCTACCTGCGGTTCCAATAGATCCACCGGCCGCCGGCCTCGTCACGGTAATACCAAGCCCCACGCCAGAAACTCCATTCTCGGCGTGCACCATAGTGATCACGATTCCAACTCCAAGAGGCATCCGGGCGACCGGAGCTTGCAGCCTTTGATGTGACTCCTGTGCTTGCTGCTTTTGCAGTGGGCGGCGTCTCAGGCTCCAAGAATGGTCGTGCTCCTGCTTTGGATGTTGGTGGTTCGGGTGCAAGAAATGGTGCATTGTTGGGATCAACTGGGGCATCAGCGTGCGAGGCGTCTGCGCGAGCAGAGCTTGAGGCGGCTGTGTCGGCATGTGTGGTTGCGGATGCATCAGCTTCGGCTTTGCGCTTTCGCTCTGCAGTGGGCGCGACCGTGGGGTCGGCCTTGTGACCTCCAGGGCCTCCAGCCTTTGCAGCGGCGCTCTGCTTCTCTTTGCGTTCAAGGTTGCCCCGAACCAATGGAAGGTTTTCCTCATACACCTTTTCGAGGAATTCAAGAGTGCCACCAAAAGGAACTTGGACAGTGCCCTTCCAGGTCAACAGGCCACGGTATGCGCCACGACGGCCGATGTAGCTGACATATTCATCCTCTGTAAAAACGTGGCGGCCGAACATGAAACCCCAGACCTTTTTCCATGTTTTTCGGAACTCAACTGGGAACCCATCCACGCCTCGCGGCTGTGACATGAAAATCAGCTTGGATAAGCAGCTTTCATTTTGGGCATTGGCGGCGACGCCAGCCGAGACCTGAGCTCTAGTCCTTGGGGGATCGGGGAGGTTGCCGTATGCAAACATATCATCAAAGATACAATCCTGCAGGCCCTTCCCCTCACCGTGGATGCGGTCGCAAAAGGTGACATCGCTGGCGAATCTGTCTTCCACATCCTCATATCCCAGCGCTTTTGCACGACGATGCCTATCGCGGCAGTCTTTGAGGACTGCTGATTCCACGGATGTGATTCCCCTGGGGCCCAGTTCCCGGCGAAGAAGATCGGCTTGCTCATTTGTCAAAGCCGTCAACAAGGTGCCGCTCATCTTCCCATACATTCCGAACCCGGCGAGACTCTGCATTCGCCGTTCAAGGATGCGGGTCCTTCTGTTGGATCTGTCGGCCTCTTTTGTTTCGCCACTTTCGTCCACTGGGAGTGGCTCATATCCACATGTGGTGCATGTCACTTGGCCACTGACGTACTCAACCTGACAGAGGGGGCAGGAGCCCATGAAAGGTTCGCAGTACTTTGGTGCAATGTAAACACGGCGCGTCCTTGCGGACGGCTGGTCAACTTGCATTGGGGCAGTGGCTGCATCATCAGTGGACGTGGCATCGGGTCGCCCCGTGCTGGTGTCATCCATTGGGTCGTCATTTGCATCATCTCGGGCAGTCAGGGTGACCGCTGTGGAACTTGGTGCTGAGGCTGATGCCGCGCCTGTCCATGTACTGGGCTCGAGATTGCTCTCGGCGCGGGACCAAAGCACCTGTCCATCTTCTGAGATGCTGACCAGAAACTGCGGTGGGATGCGTTCTGAACACAAAATACCATCCATTTCTGTGCGACTAAAGATGACACCAGCTTCAACTGCTTGCCGCATTGCGATTTTGACTTCGACTGGACATTTTGCTCTTAATCCAGATCGATATCCCTGTGTGCCGATACAGTGTTCTGCCATGTAGATATGAGCACGGCCACTGTTGACTGTGTCACCGCCGCCTGGGATCAGGCCGTTCTGTGCGATGCTCTTCCAACTGCTTCTCATCGTGCGATGAAAAACAATTTCAGGGACCTCAGTCATGGCACACAAGGGCACGCCAGTGAAGGCGGCTTTTCGCTCAGGGGAAACTTGGTTTGAGCAATACACCATGGTTGAATTGGCATAAAGGCCCCCGGCGGTTTTCAAGGCAGCTTCGGAGTGACCCTGAATTGCACGAATTTTCACAGGGTAATACGGCATACCTAGGCCGTTGTCGACAGGAAAATGGGAGATCTTTGCACACAAGAATTGGAACCTACTCTTGCCATGCTTGTCGATCTTCATTGCAGTGCCAAACAGGTTTGCGATGGTGATGAACACATCTGGGGGCACTTCCTTGCGGAAGGCTTTGGCAAAATCCTCCAAGTCAATCCAAAGGTCTTTGTCCATTGGCACCTTGGAACAGGATCCATGCCCCCTGCAAACTTTGTTGACACGAGTTGCAAAGTCGGAGAACTTCTTGTCGACGCGAGTCTGGCCTGCAATGGTCTCGACGTCGGATGCCGATATCAGCTCCAGCTCATAAGCCGTACCTTCAAAGAGGATCCCGGGCACATCATCCCCGTCTGCATTGGTCACCATTGTATATTGGTATTCAGGCAAATGCTCTTCCATCCAATATGCTTTCACGTGGCCGGATGCATGTTCCTCTAAGCGCGCGGTTGCCCGCGGCTGGTACTGGCTGGATGTGGCTCTCTTGTCATCTGCGGGCTCATCCACTGGGGCTGGTGCTGCTTTCGGTCGCGACTTCAACATGACCTCAGCCGTTTGGACCAGGATTGTTGCTCTGCTGGATGCAGCGGGCTCGCCGTCGCCGGCGGCCTTTGGAGGGTCATCTTTGGGAGGCTCAGCAAACGTGCCCGAAGGCATCGTCTTGGTGTCGATGTAGTCCTCGGTGTCAGGTTGTTGTGCTTCGACATCCTCCTTGGTGAATGACCTGCCCGTCGGCGTGATGTGTCTGCGGGACTCTCCAAAAAGCAACTTGGTGATGTTTGCACATGTCTCCTGATAGGATCTTGGCAGCTCGTCCAGGACGGCGCTCATGTTCCTCCGCAAATCATCCCATGTTTCCTGGCCACACTCAGACAGCTGCAAACCAATCCGACCAACCCGCCAGCCGCAATCAATTGCGAAAAGGGTAGCTGTCCAATAGGCAGCAAGGCGCGTGCGATTTTCTTCAGGGTTGGCGAAATGCCACTGGTCTCTGAATTCCATTGCATCGGCGTACCCCTTTGCTTTCAGCCACGGATACTTCGGATTGGCTAGCCCTTGCAGGCTGCTGGTAAGAGCTTTAAATCGAGGCTCAAGAACATCAAAGAACTGGTCAAAGATAGGATGGATGCCATAATCTGCGCTCCAAGGCGCGGTCGTGAGACCGGCCGACTGCAAATCCAACTCCCGGGCCTTAGTGATGTACCAAGTCAGGTGGCGCTCACAATCATCCAGGATCGTGGGCCAGTGCCCGTTGGGGCCGTCGTACGGCCAATTTGGATTTTGGGCAATCCCATCCTCTCCCACCAATTCATTTCCGAACCAGGACAAATGCAGGTTGATGCGTGCATCAGGGTAGCGCTCGCGGGCGTCCGCGGCCAATTCAATCCCACGCTTGACCAGCTTCTGCAAAGTTTTGCCCCAAAGCATCTCATGGATGAACTCAGTCACATACTTAGGTTTGCGCTGCCGGAAATGCTCGGACAGGTCAAACTTCTTAAGTGTTTTCCTACGCCCTGTGATCAATGCACATGACGAGTCAGAGACTAAGATCCAGATTACTTCATTGACAGGCATCTCTGGCAGCATGATCTTTTCGATGTGGGACTCCTTTGGCAAAAAGCAGAAGCTAAGGTATTCTGCAAGCGGATCCTCTCGACCATAGAACCTCAGGGCCGAAGCCGGCGTCCATTCGGTCATCAGTCCATCCACAAGGTCCTGAGAAGCCTGAGTCTCACCTTCATTGCGCATGGCCAAAGCAAACAAAATGCGATTGTGAAGGAGCAACCATGCTTCTTTGTTAGCCTCACGTGTGGCTTCGAGCGCAGCCTCGCGGCTGGCCGGGTGTGCTGTGGCATATCGCGAGTCAGCCATTTTAGCAGGACAGGCACGAATGACAGCGGGTGAAATCCTTTTGGATGTTTGGCCCACCACAGCTACCCGGAAACACTCATGGAGCATGTCGGTCAACTTGAAGGTATAGTTCTCAGCAAGTTTAAGAGCTTTGCCCCTACTTTGATCATGCTCATGTTTGCCATCACATTTAAATGAGTCTAACACTGCGAGTTCTTTGAAGTTTCCTGCAATAGTCCAACTTTTCTTCATTGGTTGACCGTTGTTTCCAAGAACCCCAACATACAACCATCAAAATGATGAGTAGTCATGGAACGTTCTATAAGGAATTTTCTAACCATCGGCCATCTCCAATACTTGCAATTCTTGGACAGTTCAAATGCTATCAAGGTTCGTTCATCATGAACTTCATCCACAAGTTTGACAAAAGATTTGAACAACTTGGTAAACTGTTTTTGTTGCTCTTTGATTCTTTCTTGACCCTCAACAGTAAGGCCATTCACATTCCCCCATGGGCTACCTCCAACGCAGGGCAACGATGCATAAAGTATCAATGTGCCGTCATTGAAATCATTTCTGAAGTCTTGGACTTGAGAGGCTAGCCGTTGCCGACAGCTGTTAGTGGTACCATCTTCTTTTTCGGTAACCCTAATGCAGTGGCAATCTTCAT